TGGGGGGGGGCGGGGCGATTAGGTGAGAGCAAAAGTCCCAAAACGGGGAAGAGTAAAGTGGGCTGATGCCGGAAAGCTGGGTCTGGCAGGGGTTCTGAGGGATGAATAGGCAATGGTTCACCGGCCACGCCAGAGGTGGCCCCCTACACACACACACCCCTCAGAAAGTTGTTAGGGCCGGCTTGATGAGGCTGCCTACCTGGGAAGTGTGATGCTGAAGTAGCACTGGTGGGGGGGATCTCAGCGACTATGGGGGTGAGGGTGGGGTCCAAATAAATATAAGGGCCTAGCTTTAACAATCTCTTCTACTCAGAATCCTCCTCTTCCCTTTCTTCCTTCTCTTCTGTCCTCCTCTCCCACAACCTCTTCCCAAGGGGTTAAAAACAAAAGCTAAAATGCTGTTTTCCTGCCTCAGGATGAACTGACAGCTTTGAATGTAAAACAAGGTTTCAATAATCAGCCTGCTGTCTCTGGGGATGAACATGGCAGTGCCAAGAACGTCAACTTCAATCCTGCCAAGGTGAGACAACCCTGCCAGGCTGAAGGAAAAAGCTGGAAGAATCTAAGAAGGAGCAAAGCTCTGGGTTGGGAAGACTTAAAGGGACAACCTAAATGGCTGAGTTTTTCTTCATAACCCAATGCTACCATGTTGGCATTTTCACATGGAAAAACAGGACCACCTGTCTGCCCCTTCTTGTCTCCCTGAGGTATAATTCTCTTCCTTTAGATCAGTTCCAACTTCAGCAGCATTATTACAGAGAAGTTACGCTGTAACACTCTCCTTGACACTGGTCGTAGGAAACCCCAGGTGATCCAGAAGGACAACTTCTGGCTGGTGACTGCAAGATCTCAGAGTGCTATTAATACCTGGTTCACTGACCTGGCTGGCACCAAACCACTCACACAACTAGCCAAGAAGGTGAGGTACTTTTTCTTGCTCTTCAGGCCAATGGGAAGTTTGTGTACCAGGTACCCCACCTATAGTCCCAAAATAAGCTACACAGTGCCAGCTCCTGGGGTAATAGAAACCTTACTGTTTGTGATATCCATCCAGGTCCCTATTTTCAGTAAGAAGGAAGAACTGTTTGGGTACTTGGCCAAATACACAGTACCTGTGATGCGGGCTGCCTGGCTTATCAAGATGACTTGTGCCTACTATATAGCAATCTCTGAGACCAAGGTTAAGAAGAGAACTGTTGACCCCTTCATAGGTAAGTAACTCCTGTTATCAGGTGTACCACTGATGGCTTCAAGGAGTGATTGAGCCTTGGGATCAATCATTCACCCTCCTAGTCTGTATTCCTTGCTTCTGCATGAATCTTGCATTTACTCAGTTAATAAGCAACAAGTAATTTGATTACCTGCTGTGTTCAAGTACTGGGTTATAAAGATGACCACTATATAATCTCTGTTCTTAGGCTCTTACTAGGGATGCTAAGGCATATGATCAGGTGGCATGACTAAATATAGAAAGTGATGAATGCCAAAAGAGTACACAGAAGGTTCTTTAAGACTTCAGTGGTGGACATAATGATTATTTGCTTTAAGGAGGCAGCATTTGTCTTAAAGTCTAACAAGATGAATAGAGTTTAGAACTGTGGTGATTCTGGGTGAAAGTAGGGGATAGAGTACTCTAAGCAGAAGGATAGTGTCAAATAGCCCCTTTCCATCTTTTCTTTAGAATGGACTCAGATCATCACAAAGTACTTATGGGAACAGCTACAGAAGATGGCTGAATATTATCGTCCAGGGCCTGCAGGAAGTGGAGGCTGTAGTTCGACTATAGGACCTTTACCCCATGATGTAGAGGTGGCAATCAGGCAGTGGGACTACAATGAGAAGCTTGCCATGTTCATGTTTCAGGTAGGGAAAAGAGCATGTTCAGTGTGGCATTGAGTTGTGCCTTATCCTGTGCTGTCAGTAGAGAAGGGAACTGGCCTGCTACTTTCCCCCAAATGTGACCCTATTTATACTTCCATTACTTTATCTGACTTACCTCTAATAGTCCCTGAGCTGAACTAATACTCTTTTTTCCCCTGGTACTCATAGGATGGAATGCTGGACAGACATGAATTCTTGACCTGGGTGCTTGAGTGTTTTGAGAAGATCCGCCCTGGAGAGGATGAATTGCTTAAATTGCTGCTGCCCCTACTACTTCGAGTAAGGCCTAAGCTCTGGGGTGGGAGCATCTAGGGAGGATTTGAGTACAAATAAGCCATCAGAGCAGTGTTCCTTGGAGAAAACTAGCAACACTGTTGGTCATGTCTTCACAGTACTCAGGGGAATTTGTTCAATCTGCATATCTGTCCCGCCGCCTTGCCTACTTCTGTACCCGGAGACTGGCTCTACAGCTGGATGGTGTGAGCAGCCACTCATCACATGTTATATCAGCTCAGTCAACAAGCACTCTGCCCACCACCCCTGCACCTCAACCTCCAACTAGCAGTACACCCTCCACTCCCTTTAGCGACCTACTTATGTGCCCTCAGCACCGGCCCCTGGTTTTTGGCCTCAGCTGCATCCTGCAGGTAGGTACTAGATGGACCCAAGGTAGTATTAAGAGATAGTCTGAGAAGAACTGACTGCTCATCTTGGAGAACAGAGGGGATTCCAACTTGGAGGTGGGAATAGGCACTGAGTACCTGCTTGGAGATTATCATTTCTCTGTGATAGGATGCTCCTTTTTGGAGGCTTTGGCCATCTTCTCCCAGAACTAAGTAGTAGACCTAAAGCCTTGTAGGAAAGTGGATGAAAAGATAGGTGTGATAGTGTGTGCCTGGAGTCCCAGCACTTGGAAGTAGGAAGCGGGCAGATTGTGAGTAGCTTGAGCTATATAATGAAACCTTATCTCAAAATATTTTTTAGAAAAGGAGAATGAGGAGGAGGGGATCAGGGATGATACTTGCCCCAAGGACTCAGAGTCAACTTAAGTTAGATGTAGAACCTAAGAGTTGGATCTTGAATGAGGAGTTTAGAGGGGTTGCCATGATAACTGGGTTTGATTTATCTGTTTGTCTGGCAGACCATCCTCCTGTGTTGTCCTAGTGCCCTAGTTTGGCACTACTCATTGACTGACAGCAGAATCAAGACTGGGTCACCACTTGACCACCTGCCTATTGCTCCGTCCAACTTGCCCATGCCAGAGGGCAACAGTGCCTTCACTCAGCAGGTAAGTCTGAATGCTACCTTGGTACTGCAAAATTGGGATATGAAACTAAATTAGTTTTCCAGAAATAGTGATTCGGAGTCTGCTACTGGTGTTCATTTTGTTTTTGTTTTTGAGGCAGTCTTCCTATTTAGCCTTGGCTGGCCTGAAACTTGATATGTAGACCAGGCAGGCCTTGAGCTTACTGTGATCCTTCTCCTTCCTAAGTGCTAAATTATAGGCATGTACTACCGTGTCTGACTTTTGGCTACTCTTTTTTAAAAATCATTTTTTTATTTTCTGTATTATGAGTGTTTTGCCTGCATGTATGTAAGTGCACCACGTGTATGCAGTGCCTGAAGAGGCCAGAGGAGTGTATCAGAACCCCCTGTGGGTGCTGGGAACTGAACCTAGGTCCTCTGGAAGAGCAGCCAGTACTCTTGACCACTGGGCCATCTCTCCAGCCCCTTGGCTATTCATCTTTTAGCTCTTTTGTATGTTTAGGGGTTCCCTTCAAGCTTTCTTTTTTGATATTGTAGGTCCGTGCAAAATTACGAGAGATTGAGCAGCAGATCAAGGAGCGAGGGCAAGCAGTTGAGGTTCGCTGGTCTTTTGATAAATGCCAGGAAGCTACTGCAGGTGGGTCATCAAAGGACAGAAGCTAGGAAGCATGTTTGAGGAAAAAATGGGTGAAAAGTTCATAGATCTCTGAAAGTCTGAATGCACTGGACCTTTACTGCTTGTCCTCAGGTTTCACCATTGGACGGGTGCTCCATACTTTAGAAGTGCTGGACAGCCATAGTTTTGAGCGCTCTGACTTCAGCAACTCTCTCGACTCCCTTTGCAACCGAATCTTTGGATTGGGGCCTAGTAAAGATGGGCATGAGGTGAGTAAGGAGGGAAATAGAAAGAGTAAAAATATTACCGGAGCAGCAGTATGTGTGAGGGAAGGCATAGTGAGTCATCATAACTAGGGGGTACCTGTAGAGATGGTCTTCCTGGGCCCCGGATGTTTTGAGGTGGAGCTTAGTCTTGAACTAATTGGAGCTCAGTTCTTATGTTCCCTGCTCTCCCTTACTCATCTTTGTCTAATCCTTTGGTTGCAGATTTCCTCAGATGATGATGCTGTGGTATCATTATTATGTGAATGGGCTGTTAGCTG